ACCCATACGTTTTCTACTAGCAACAGTCTTGACTTTCGGGTGAGAATAATTCTATTCATCCCCCTTTGGTGGGTGAATGATCCAAACTTCGTTGACTATATTTTTGGACAAACGGCTGGCTTAGGAATTCTGTAAAAACAAATTGGGTGCCATGAAGACGAACCCTGGATGGTCACCTAGAAGCCCCGGGCAAGGTCACTTGGTGTGAGGTGTTCTTTGCTGCGCTGGTGGAACATGGGCTAACCTGTGGGAGAAACCAGTTTGACAATGAAATCAGTTTAGGGGGGAAGCCGAGGAGGACAGGCTTCTTTGATGTTATTTGAACTCTTGAATCTAGGTGTGACTCAAGAAGGGGTCATCTGTCTCCGTCTTGTCTCGCAGCTGCTCTATGATCCAGCCTGTGATTTCTCATGTGTTAGCTTAGATTATTAAAGCTGTTATCAAAATCTTCTTTGTTGCAGTAATTCCTCCGTACCCATGGAGGACGTATTCCAAGGTGCTCAATGGAGGCTTAGAACTGCAATTTTAGTAGCCCTTAACCCCATCTAGATATTGCATTTCTTCCCCTGTACATGCATACCTCATCTAGATATTGCATTTCTTCCCCTGTACATGCATACCTGTGATTAAGTTTAATTCATAAAGCAGGCACAGTAAAATATTGAGACTAAAATAGAACAATCACAACAATATACTTCATAAGTTATATGTATGTGTTCTCTCAAAATATCCTCATGTACTGTGCCTGTGACTCGAGGATGATGCAAAGTTAGGCCTGGTGTGGTTGGTGGCCATTACCTCTAAATCCCAGCCCTTGGGAAGCAAAGGCAGGTGGATCTCTGTGAGTTCCGGACTAGCCAGGGCTACAGAGTGAGACCTTGGAGAGGAAGAGAGGGGTGTGTGTGTGTGCGTGTGCGTGTGCGTGTGCGTGTGCGTGTGCGTGTGCGTGTGTGTGTGTGAACAAAACCTGTGTCAGGAGATGAGGTGGATGACACAGGCACTGTGATACAGGGTTAGGCTATTGCTGACCTGACAAGCTGACCGGAGGGGCCTCTGCTTTGTTTTAAATTGAGATGACATAAAGCTCGACCATGTCACTCAAAACAGTGCGCAGTTTAAGACTTACAATCCCCCCAGCCCCAGAGATTTTCTTTGCCATTTTAAAGACAAAATCCCGCCTAGCCCAGGCTGGTCTCAAACTCACCCTGGAGCTGAGGATGACCATAAACTCCTGATCCTCCTCTCCCTATCTCTCAAGAATGGGATTACAGACGTGCACCACAACACCCAGATTCTTCTGGGATTTCAGTTACATTTTTTTTTTTTTACCATGCTGACTACAAATTGACTTGCAGCATCATTAAGTGAAATCTCACATGAGGGGACACTACTGTATTGGCAATCAGGAGATTGCCACAAGTCTATTGAAAAAAGATGTCTTGGGCCAGCAAGATGGCTCAGTGATAAAGGTACTTGCTGCCAAGCCTGACTATTGTTATGGGTTTGGGGTTGCTCAGAGATTCACCATGACCGTGAATAAATTTTAATAGGGCCGGGCGGTGGTGGTGCACGCCTTTAATCCCAGCACTCGGGAGGCAGAGCCAGGCGGATCTCTGTGAGTTCGAAGCCAGCCTGGACTACCAAGTGAGTTCCAGGAAAGGCGCAAAGCTACACAGAGAAACCCTGTCTCGAAAAACCAAAAAAAAAAAAATTTTAATAGGAAGAGACCTTTTGTTTTGCTTTGGGTTTTGGCTTTTTGAGACAGGGCTTCTTTGTGTAGCCTTAGCTGTTCTCCAACTCACTCTGTAGACCAGGCTGGCCTTGAATTCACAGAGATCCACCTTCCTCTGCCTCCTGAGTGCTGAGATTAAAGGCATGCCCCACTATCCCCCAGCAAGAAGAGGTTTTTTTATTTAGGTACTGGCACTCATACCTGGCACCAGGGTTTCACCTGGGAGAGCTCCCAAGATACAGCTCTGAGCCATCTCAGCCCAGAGTTTATAAAGGCAAACCCCACAAGATTACATGGATTTTGCCTAAGCATGGGCAGGGTCTTATTTTAACATGCATGTCATGCAGTCGTACTAGTCATCTTTTTGAGCAGAGTTTGATTATACAAGAGCAGAAATAGCCGTTAGTCTTATGACCTATTATCTTGCAAGAACAGCAAATTTTACCAGTTCGGTCAACTTAAGAATAGTTTTCAACATCTGGGAAAAAAGGGGAATGGGCTGACAGGTTATAGCTGTACAAGCTGGGGGGTTACATGCTAAGGCATTTTGTGACACACACACACACACACACACACACATATATCACAATATATCTATACCTATATCTATATATATTAAACATAGTAATTAAAAACTTAAATGTAATGTTAACCATCACATTACCAGAGTCTGAACCTGGGATTCACATGGTAGATCACCAACTCTTGCAAGTTGTCCTCTGGCCTCCAAGCACATGCCATGGTCTGCCTGCCCTGACTCATAAATAAATGTGATTAAAATACTTTTTGAAGTTGGAGCAGGGTGGAAGAGAGAGAGAGGGAAATATCAAGGATAAGGATGAGAACACTCTCTTGGCAAAATCTTTGTTTTGGTATCTTAGCAGAGCAGTTTCAGCTCTGACTGTGGACTTAGTTTTTTCTACTATCCCCAAAAGGCCTGAAACTGTATTATAATAACATCAGCTCTCACAGTTTGTTTGAAGCTTGAGGAAGGATTTAGAAATAGACATCATTTGCTTTTGAGATTTTCATATTCTAAGAGGAGACAAGAACAGAAGGAGAAAATCTGGCTATTTCTAAGAGTGGGAAGGCTGAAGGGATAACTTGATTGTAAATCAGACTTCGCATTGCTATCTACTTCTGTACTAGTTACTTTTCTGGTGTGATGAGCAAGGGAACTTAGAGAAGAGCTGACTTGGGTTTCTGCTTCTAGAGGAATGAGAGTCCATCATGGCAGGGAAGTGGAGGCCGTGGCAGCTATTGGAATAGCAAGCTGAGAAGTCACATCTTGAGCCACAGCAGGAAGCACAGAGAGAGAGAGAAGAGAGTAACTGGGAATGGCATGAGTCTTTAAACTCTCAGAGTCCATCTCCAGTGACAAACTTCCTCCAACAAGACCACACCCCCTAAGCCTCCCCCAAACAGGTCCACCAACCGGGGACCAAGGGTTCAAGTACCTGAGCCTTATAGTGATCATTTTCATTCAAACCAGCACAATTTTTGTCTGTTCAAATACTATTCCTTCTTAAAAGCTTTTTTAGTACACCATAAGCCAATAGCCAGGGTTCTTTTCAGTTTATATTCAGGAAATCTGAGACTGCAGAAGAGGCAGAGGGAAACCAAATTCAGCTACTAAGATTAATAAGATCACTGATTCAGTCAGCAAAACTAAGTCTTAGAATGAAATCTACCCTGCTGATAAAACGATTTAGGATTTCTTGGCATTCAGAACTGTGAGGAAAAAGAAGTCATGTTGTTTAAAGTACTCAGTCTGTTGTGTTTGTTTTAATACCCTGAGTGAACCAAGACATGCATGAGTGCATGTGTATACACACACACACACACACACACACACACACACACACACACACACACACACAGGGTGAGAGAGGCAGGTTAAACAAATAGTTCAAAACAAGTACTTGACCATGATCAATATAAACTGTGGGGAAAATGATACATGAGCAGTGAAGAGAAGATAACATGTTAGCTGAGCTGGAAGGACAGGTAACCTACGCTGGAGATTCTGGGGATCTGAATGTGGCTATTGGCCAACAAAGCTTCCATTTCTACAGAGCACCTTTGACTCCTAGGCAGCAGCTGACTAGCCCCTGGGCACCTATGCGTCATGAAGATGACTACACTTCTGAGAGAGTAGGAGCACAGAGATGCACGGTTTCCCAGTTGGGGTCTGACTTGTTCTCTAGATCTTTAGTCTGCGCCCCTCCTCAGTCCCTCCATGCTTTATTCTCAATCTTTTTCTCATTTTTCCTTCCGCCTCTTCTCTAGGTCCCAGCAGATGACTGCCCTTCCCCTGCATACCTTTATCTAGCCAGTCACCAAACTGTGGCAGCCACGTTCAAGTCATCTTTCTCTTTCTCTTCTCCCACGCCATCACCACAGTCCAGGATTTCTTCACGTCTCTCCCTAATTGCGTGCAATGGCCTCCCCATGAACTTTCTAAGCCTGATGATGTCACACTTCTGCTTAAACTGTGTAGTGTGGCTCTCTGGATTGCGGGGTTAAGTTCAGATGCCTTTTTAAAAATGTATTTTTAATTAAAATATTATTCCATCATTTCTCCCCTTCCAACCCCTTCTGACACCCCCTCCGCTAGTAATGTTTTTCTGTTAGCACATCCTGCCTCTCAGTACTGCCAATCTTTCATCCCCCAGATCCATTCACATTCCTTCAGTTCACACCAAACTGTCTTCTGACTATTCTGTTACTTTACATGCTCTTTTCCGTTATTTGGAATCTCCTTCCCCTTTCAACCAAGTTTTCCTTTTCCTTCAAGATTTAGGGTCAGAATGATCTTTTCCAGGAAACTCCCTCCACCCCCGATTAACTCAGCTTATGCCCGTATTTTATACAAGTTTTTGCTGTGATTTCCATTTACTCTGTTGTCTCTCAGGTTATGTTCATATTCTCCATGCCAAGCGTAATGCCTGTCACCTAGCAGATTTCACAAGAGCTTGAAAGAAACTAAATCATAGGGGTTAGTGAATCCCTGTCTGGAAGGATCATACATATTTCGGAAGCTTCCGTATACGGAAGTAGATTTTTGAGGTTTGGAAGCCGGCAAGGAGAATCGACTGAGTCCTGGATAAGACAAAAATTGCTTCACCGGTTTCACTTCTTAGATCTCTAGGCCAATTGGCCACTAGGGCAGGTGGAACCAAAACAAGAAGAAAAACTGCATTTCCCGTCATGCCTCTGGAAACAACTCCCGGTGACCCTCAACGTCCCCACCTCCCTCACACGGAAACGAAAGGGGCACTTCCGGTTTTGCAACCCCGGGAGCCGGCGGCGTTGGTCGGGCCCTTTAGGGCCTCATTCGGAAGCTCTGCCTTCGCTTGGGTCTTTCTAAAAAGACAGCGTCGGTCTGGACCGAGTGGGACAGGTAGCACCCGGGTGCCGTGGGGGCTCCGGGGCCGTGTGCTGCAGGGGGCCGGGAGGCCCCGTTGCTCCGGGGGCTTGGGGTTCCGTTCCGGCGGGCTCTGGAAGCGGGTCGGAGGGTCGTCGCCCCAGCACTGACGTTTTTTGCTCTTCTTTTTCTCTGCCGTCTCAGCGTCCCGGGCTCCCTGCGTGTCTCCCATGGCGGATACGACCCCGAACGGCCCCCAAGGGGCGGGCGCTGTGGTGAGTGAGCGGCCTGGTCTCCCTCCCGGCTCCATCCGCGGGAGTTGGCGAGGAGCAGGAAGTGTTGGGAGAGGGGCCGGAGCGTTCTAGAAGCCGCTGCCTGCGGGGCTGGGGTGAGGGAGTGGCGGGGGCCCAGAGAGGAGCTCCAGGTTTGTTTCCAAAGCGACGCTGCAGGCCGGCGTTGGAGCAGGTGGCCGTCGGCCTGTCTGCGGGGACACGGGGCCTCCCCGCGCCTTCCCGCAGCCTCCCCGCGCCTTCCCGCAGCTCAGTCTCCGGTTGTCTCCGGTCCCAAGGTTGAAGGTGCCATCTGAGGCAGAGGCTGCCACCCGCACGCCTCGTGGGGCGCGTAGTAGTGCCCTTTGTACCTCCTTTAAGCCTTTTTAAGAAATTCCGAAAAGGAGAGAGCGGTGTGTTTTCTTCTTCAGTTGGTCGTCTACTAGGGGGACGCCTACTACCCTTTTGTAAACTTGATAACTGAAAAGTGTTGTTGTACTGCTCTGTCCGAGACATCTTGTCATTTAGTCCTTAAACTGAATTTTTGATTTTTTTTTTAAAAACATTTGACAGCACCTCCGTATACACACACCTATTTTGCTGACCCGTTTGACATTCTTGCTAACCCACAAATGCTAAGTAGTGTTCGCCTCTTCACTCCATTTGGGAAGGTTAACGCTGATGGTAACCTAATACGTAGTTCATGTTCGGATTTCCTTCATCGTCCATTGGCACCTCCCCTCCTTAGAGTTCAGCCACTGTATGTATTAGTCTTACCTCGAGACTCTCAATCAACGGAAGTTCCTCTTTGGGTTTTGAAGACACAGGTAGTTGCAGTGTCTAGACCTGTTTTGCAGAGTGATCCAGAAACTGGAGTTACATGACTGATTGTGTCCTCAAGACAAGAACCATTTTATGTTGACTCTGTTTGGGGAATTCAGGTGTGATGTTTAAGGTGATACCTCAACCGGTTCACCATTGCAAAAATACAGTTTTCCCCTTTATAATTAAAAAGTTGTCTATCTTAGACGGGCGGTGGTGGCGCACGCCTTTAATCTCAGGAGTTTAATCTCAGGAGGCAGAGGCAGGTGGATCTTTGTGAGTTCGAGGCCAGCCTGGTCTACAGAGCGAGATCCAGGAAAGGCACAAAGCTACACAGAGAAACCCTGTCTCAAAAAACCAAAAAAAAAAAAAAAAAAAAAGAAAAAAAGAAAAAAAAGTTGTCTATCTTAATACTTTGGGACTGTGTGAATAATTTGCCCTCAAGTGTTCAATCCAAAGATTCATTAAAATAATTTGGGGGGGGTTGGAACTGTATATATTAGGCAGTTCACACTTAAAAACTTAAACCACCATGTGCCTTTTAAGCTGCTGTATTGTGTAATAGAACGTACCTACATCAAGAAGACCCGGATAAGGGACTGGAAAGATGGGCTCAGTGTTTAAAAGTGAATGCCGCTTTTTCAGAGGACCCTCGTTCAGTTCTCAGCACCTACCAGTTGCTCACAAGCCCCTGTAACTCTGGCTCCAGGGGATCTTCTGGTCTCCATAGGTCACTGTATACACCACACAGATGTATTCACATACACATAACACATAATTAAAAGTAATAAAAATGAATCTTTAAAAAAGATGTCTGAAAAGGATGATTCAGTGACTTCCTGACGAGTGAAAACCCTACACAGATACTTATTTTGTTGGGTGGAATGTATAGAGATCAGAGGAAAACCTACGATAGTCAGTTCTCGGCTTCCATGGTGGTCTCAGGGTTCAAATTCCAGTCGTCAGTCTTGGCAGCCTGGGCTGGACTGTCTTGATGGCCCATCAAATGGGTTTTAAAGAGAATGCTCTAAAGAAACTGAGCATAGTAAGCTAGAGTCAGCCTTGCATTTGACTGCTGCTATAATCAGTTAGGTTTAGAGGCATCACAGTATAATAGCTAGATCTCAATAGAATAGGCTAGCAGCATGTTTTATATTCTTGATGTTGCTAGTATGTAATTAAAAGGCATGTAATAATGCCCTTGAATTTTAAATATACTTGTATTTTTCCTAAAAAAAAATTTTACACATGCAGAAAACCAGAATGAAATTGCTTAAAAGTAGTATTTAAAAACATCGGATAGATGCATGAATGTGTTTTAAAAATCAGTTTATTGGAAGTACCAACTAGAAGAAAAAAATTCCGTCACATATAATGAGGATATGTATTATGAGACTTCTGTTTATATACCCACATATGTTTGTATCTTGGTATTAACTATTTTTGAACATTGTAGTTAAAAATATAAAAGCCTCTTTAGAAATGAATATGAGGTCCATGTAAGTGATAAAGCAGATTTTAAGTTCTTGCTTTCATGATAAGCTTAATCTAGGTCCACGGATAATAGGGTAAAGCTTGTGCCTGTAGTGGATTGCAGAGAGTCATATGATCTGAGAAGCAGGTACCATTTCATACTTGACAGGCATGTTTTGAGTGCCCTTCTGCATGTCCATGACAGATAGTCTATAGACTGATGACTTCAGCACTAATTCCTGCAATGATTTTACCTCTCTCTTTGTAATGGTTTATTTAATCCAAACCTATTATTTGATGCCTTACTCAGTTCTGGGGCCTATTTGGGTTTGCGATTTTTCTAAGAATAGACATTATAGTTCTCTTGAGGGCCATTAGTTCTTATTTAATGTTGTTTTAAAATAGATAGAGCCATTATTGTAAATATTGAAATAGCACAGAAAATTTTGTATAGTTGAATTACTGTCCTGATTTTTTTCTGAAAGTGCTTCTTATACCTTCCACAGCATATATGTGAAGAAGCAGTTAAGTACCATGAGTTTCCACTTAATAATCTAGAAAGCAAATGTTATAAGCTGGTTCTTAAAATAGCCTTCATAGGAATAAAAGTGCATAAATTGTCCTTAACATAATTAGGACTTAGTTTACCATAATATTTTTCTTTTCAAATCTAGCAATTCATGATGACCAATAAACTGGACACAGCAATGTGGCTTTCTCGCTTGTTCACAGTGTACTGCTCCGCTTTGTTTGTCCTGCCTCTTCTTGGGTACGTATTACCATGTTTCTGACTCAAGTCGGCATGTGTGAAATGCTTTTTAGCTTTAAGAATTGTTAAAATGCCGGGCGGTGGTGGCGCACGCCTTTAATCCCAGCACTCGGGAGGCAGAGCCAGGCGGATCTCTGTGAGTTCAAGGCCAGCCTGGGCTACCAAGTGAGTTCCAGGAAAGGCGCAAAGCTACACAGAGAAACCCTGTCTCGAAAAACCAAAAAAAAAAAAAAAAAAAAAAAAAAAAGAATTGTTAAAATGTAAATGGCATAGAACTAATGAACACAAACCCCATTAAAATCAACAGTGATCTGGTAATACCAATTGGGGGATGCTTTATTGTGGTTTGACTGCTCATTGACAGTCATGGTTTTTGCAGTTCTTACTTTTTTAACTTGATAGAGTGAATGCTTTATATTATACAGTTAGATATGTATTTGAAGTGATGTTTCCCAGAATGTGGAGTACATTCGTGTAATTTATTTTCTATTGACAATTAAATGATTTAGGTGTTGTGCAATTATGATGCAATTCACAAAGGAAGAAGAGCCCTGGTAGTTGTTGATGTCTCATGATAACTTTTCCTCTGGTAATTTTCAGGTTGCATGAAGCAGCAAGCTTTTACCAGCGTGCTTTGCTGGCAAATGCTCTCACCAGTGCTCTGAGGCTGCATCAGAGATTACCACACTTCCAGTTAAGCAGAGCATTCCTGGCTCAGGCCTTGTTAGAGGACAGCTGTCACTACCTGCTGTATTCACTCATTTTCGTCAATTCCTACCCCGTTACAAGTATCCTTTTCATACTCAGGACAGTGAAATTGCCAGCTAAGCATGTAGGAGATGTCTTGATTGTTTTTCTATTGGAAGGATACAGTAATGATGTTTCAGAAAGCTTGTTTGTTTGGCTTTTAGTCTGTCATTTATGTGGAGATGTATTAATATCAAATTTCTGTCCCCAAAATTTGAAATCTAAACTCTGTAGAGCTGTTTTGGGAATTTAAGCTTAGTCTCTCAATATTCTTGCCTTGTAAGCCTAGCAGGTATTTAACAATTAACATTCAAAGCACAAGGTTATACATGAATTTAGTATTTAAATCTTTATTTCATATTTCATATTCATATTTCAATTCCATATCTTGGTGGGAATATGCAAATTTTTCAAAAACACGCACATTTACATGTATGAGGGTTTTGCCTGTGTGTATGTATGTACAACATGTGTGCTTGATGCCTGTGGAGATCAGAAGAGGGTGTTGAAACCCTGCAACTGAAGTTGTAGGCAGTTGTGAGCCACTGGGTGGGTGATAGGAAATAAATTTAGGTCCTTTGTAAAAGCAGCCAGTGTTCTTAACCCACAGCCATCTCTCTAGCCCTACAAATTTGTTACTTGAAAAAAAGTTTTTGGCTACCCCAGCTACCAGTGACCTAGGAACAAAAAAAATTAATCTTGTGAAAATAATTTGCTATAACGTAAAATAGAAAGTAAGGACAAGAGCCAAGTGTGATAAGCCTGTAATCATAGCAGTGGGAGGCACAGGAGGGTTAAAGCCAGCCTGGTTTACATAGCTAGTTTCAGGTCAGCCAAGATTACGTAGTGTGACTTTGTCTCAAAGAGCAAAACCAGGCTAGCAAGTTGACTCAGCAGGTTAATTCTTAGGAGTTGGGGAAGAGAAGTAGTGAGCAGTGACAAGACCATCAATAGTAAGTGCTAATCTAATTCCTAAAGAAATTGGGAATTAGGGTATATGCAAAGGTGGCCCAAAGGAATACTACAAATGTATTTGGGCCTTTGCTCTGTTTGTTTGTTTGTTTGTTTGTTTGTTTTGTTTTGTTTTGTTTTTCCGAGACAAAGTTTCTCTGTGTAGTAGCCCTGGCTGTCCTGGAACTACGCTTTGTTGACCAAGCTAGCCTTGAACTCACAGAGATCTGCCTCCCAAGTGCAGGGATTCCTTTGTTCTTAATGTGATATATTGTCCTTATTCTGTCAGTGACTGGCACTTAATAAAATAGTAGCCTTTTCACTCCGTGTCTTTCTAAATAATTTAAAAGTGACATTGAACCAGGCATGTAATCACACACCTGTAATCTCGTCACTTGGAAAGTGAGAGTAGGAAGTCAAGGCTAGCCTGGGCTTCTGTGAGACCCTGTCTCCAAACCAAAAGTTGGAAAAATAAAGTGACACAAAAGCTAAGATGAATCGCTTAAGGATATGTGAACTGAAGACAATTAGAGGAGATAAATACTCATTCAAGGCTCCGTGGTGTCTGTGTGGTCATTTGACAGAGGATGAACTTTGGCCTAGGAGAATGAGGTTTGTGAAAACCAGAACTGGAGCCCAGATATCTTGACTCCTGTTGAAGGTTATACTTTGGCACTGCCTCTGTTACTGAATCAGACTCCAAGTCTGGGGGTGTCACAGTTTAAGTTGATTTTTTTTAAGCTTTAGCAGAGTTTCACATAGGCCTTAAAAATGAGAAGTTTCTAAGTTTCAAGTTTTAAAGGAGTCTGATTCATTAAAAAGTCTTCAATTGGAGCCAGACATGTGTATACCTGGAATTCCAGCACCTGGGAAGCTGTGGCAAGGAGGAATGAGAGTTTGAGGCCAGCTTAGGCTGCAGAGGAGGATGCATGTTTCTGTTTAGATTCTTCTAATGTGTGGGGCATAGCTGCTCACTGACTGGATTGAGTGAGTCAAGGTGATAACGAATTTGATATGCAAATTATTAGCAGTTAGCATTTCCCGATATGCCATACCTTTACCTAGTACAGAAAAATAGCGATTCATTTCTAGTGCTGATGTTACTATCACTAACATTTTAAGGCTAGTGTTTATGCCATTCATCATTGATAGTCAGTCATTCATGTAAATACTTGACAAGTTTTTTATTATTAACCTGGCAAAAATTGGAGTGGATCCATTTCTGTTTTCTTTCTTTTGAAAAATTGAGCTGGATGGTAATGGTGCACGTCTTCAATCCCAGGGAAGCAGAGGCAGGCAGATCTCTGTGAGTTCAAAGCCAACCAGGTCTACAGAGTGAGTTCCAGGACAGCCAGGGCTACATAGAGAAACCCTATCTTGAAAAAGAAAAAAGAAAAATTGGATGAAAATTGTGTATTTACCTAGTGTAAGGTAGGTAAATATTGGACTTAATATGAAAATTTAAAGCCAATAAGACCTATGGTAGATTTTTTTTTTTTTTTTTTTTTTGGTTTTTCAAGACAGGGTTTCTCTGTGTAGCTTTGTGCCTTTCCTGGAACTCACTTGGTAGCCCAGGCTGGCCTCGAACTCACAGAGATCCGCCTGGCTCTGCCTCCCGAGTGCTGGGATTAAAGGCGTGCGCCATCACCGCCCGGCCTCTATGGTAGATTTTATGTAAGCTGAAATTTATAGTCTTTTTTTACAAATTCAGTATGAATTTTTACAAATTCAAAATGTTAAAAAAAAAAGCACTCAGGTATATTTCCTCAAAGTAATGGAATTTAAGCACATTACTTTGACACCTTTGTCTACAATGTCGACTCGTGTAAAGGCACTGTAGAAGATTTTCTGTGTTTAAGACCAAATTAGTGCGCTGGAGAGATGGCTCTTAGCGCTCATATTGTCCTTGCAGAGGATCTAGGTTTGGTTCCCAGCCCCACATCAGGCAACACACAACTGTCTGTAATTACAGTTCCAAAGGATCCAGTCCCACTGACCTCCAAGGGCACTTGCATGTGTGTGTGTGTATGGTGAACATTAACTCGTGCAGGTACAAACACATAACTAAAAATAATAAATAAATCCTAAAGAAACAAAATGGCCAATGTGGGGTGAAAACTATATTCAATCATTTGGGTGGCTTACATTTTAGCTTTGCTTAGCAGATATTTGTGGTGCTTTATTAGAAATGTTTTTGACTTCCCAGATGGATGGTAAGATTTAGAAAGTGAGGAAGTTTACTTCTTCCTATGAGGTAGAACTTCATTTGATTCAAAGTCTGGCTATGAAAGAAAAGCCATCCCACCAAACTCCCTGTCAGGTGTTGCCTAGCTCTGCTTTGCACATAGCCGTGGGCATGGGCTTACAGTGCTCAGTGACTTCAAAGCTTTCCTTAACCGCTTCTCCAGTGAGTATATTCCCAGTCTTGTTATTTTCTTTGCTTCATGCTGCCACATACACTAAGAAGGTCCTTGATGTAAGTAAGACTGTTTGTTTCTTTGCCTTTTACATTGTCCATAGTTAGTTTGACTTGGAGTTTCAGACATTTTTTTCCCCACAAACTTGTTAGAAATTTTTTTAGTGATTTGAAATTTTTAAATTTAAAGATTATATTGTTAAAGTGTTATAAAACAGCATCTTTTGGTCTTTTGTAGACGCTTTTGTAGAAAGGATTGTTCTTAAAATTTTCTTCCAGTTCCCTGAAGTTTGAAATGCACATCTTCATTTAAAAACATGTAACTTTCGAGTGCTGGTGGCACATGCCTTTAATCCCAACACTCAGGAGGCAGATGCAGCTAGATCTCTGAATTCAAGGCTAACCTGGTCTATAGAGCGAGTTCTGGGACAGCCAGGGCTGTTACACAGAGAAACCCTGTCTCGAAAACCAAACCAAAATCCTATTACTCTAAGTTTGATGAGCTGGCAGAGATCTCCTGTCTGTCACTGGCTTACTGCCTGAGTATAACCATACCAGTGTAAGGTTTTTTGTTTTATATGTTTTTTGGCGGGGAGGGTGTTGTCTTGTTTTACTTTATTTATTTATTATTATTATTTTTTTTGTTTTTCGAGACAGGGTTTCTCTGTGTAGCTTTGTGCCTTTCCTGGGGCTCACTTGGTAGCCCAGGCTGGCCTCGAACTCACAGAGATCCGCCTGGCTTTGCCTCCCAAGTGCTGGGATTAAAGGCGTGCGCCACCACCGCCTGGCTTTTACTTTATTTTTTTGAGACGTCTCCATGTAAGCCAAGCAGGCCTTGAATTCACAGAGATCTACCTGCCTCTCCTTCCTGTGATGGTACACACCTTTAATCCCAGCACTTGGGAGGTACGTGGTGCCATTCTAAAGAGACGTCCTGAGCACCCACATAGTTTGGTGTTAGGGTGATTAGTGAGTTATTAAAGGTGCCGTGTTAGTTCTAATGCTTGTCTCCTTTTGTTTTAGGCGAAGGGTTCAAATAGTTTACCTCTGCTGAGGTCCGTCTTGGATAAGTTAAGTGCTAACCAACAAAACGTCCTGAAGTTCATCGCTTGCAATGAGATCCTCTTGATGCCTGCCACAGTCTTTATGCTCTTTAGGTGAGAGGTCAGACACGCTTGTTCGGAAGATTGACAGGTGAACAGAAGGGTAGTCGCTCAGATTGCATCCTGCTCGAATCAGAGCAAGTGCAGCCTGTACCCTCAGGTAGAGCACTCCAGATGCTCTGGTAGAAGCATCGCACCATGGGAAAAACCAGGCGCAAATGCTTTAACAGGCTTTGGAAATGCTTTTTCTTTGACATTTTCATGCATGTGCATATTGAGTGGTGGTCATTTTTACCTTCTCATGGCCCTATTCCTCTCTCACCTTCTCTTTTCTCTTGTTGAAATCTTTCTTCCCTAGAAGCTCCCCACGCTTAGATGTCTTTTTTGATTATTAATTAAATTTATTTGTTGACAATTTAATACATGTATGTAGTGCATGTAGTTATTCTCCCCACCCACTTATTTTCCTTTTATCCTTTCCAATCCCTATTCCTTCTTACAAGTCCTTTTCCTATAGTATATTTTTTTGTTATCCACTGTGTTAAATCAGGGCTGTCTGTGTGACCAGGGTGTGGGACTATCCATTGGAGCCTGGTGGGCTCATCAGTGAGTGTAGAACTGAAGACAGGGACTCCTCTTTCCCCAGCATCCATGAATAGCTCTGGGACAGGAAATTTGTCTTTACACCTGTGAAACATCATTTAACCCTTGGAGATTAATTTTTAATTTTTGAAAATTAATTTTAAAAATGCTACATATAGGAGAGTCTTTTGTCTTAGTGAGGGTTACTATTGCTGTGATAAAACACCATGACTAAAGCAACCTGGGGAGGAAAGGAATCATTTGGCTTATAAGTCCATATCCCAGTTCATCATCAAACCAAGTCAGGGCAGAAACTCCAACATGGTAGGAACCTAGAGGCAGGAGCTGATGTAGAGGCCATGGAGGGGTGCTGCTTACTGGCTTGCTCCTTCTGGCTTGCTCAGCCTGCTTTCTCATAGAACCCTGGACCACCAGTCCAGGGTGGCTCCACCCACAGTGAACTTCCCGCATTGATCACTAATTAAAAAAATACCCTACAGGCTTGCCTGCAGCTCGATCTTTGGAGGCATTTTCTCAACTACGGTTCCCTCAGATTACTATAGTGTGTGTCAGCTGACATAGAACTAGCCAGCACCGTCTTGAAGTCTAATTCAGCTCATTCTTGCCTTTTTTGAGGTGGTATAAGGAGACATTTTCAAAGTCTAGGCTTACAGTAACAATTGCCTACAGTTGTTTCCATATTTTGTTGGTAATCTGGAAATAATAGAGAAGACTTCTTTTGAGAGGTAGACTATCACAGCAGTGTTAGTCTCTCCTTTGGTAATTTTGCATTTGATTTTAATCATGTACATATCTACCTGGAAGCTTGCTTTTAAATTTTAGTTTTATAGATAAGCTAATAGGGGTATCTAATCTATTGGCTTCTCTGGGCTGTGTTGTCATCAGTGAAGTTCATGATCGAGCAAAGGAAAAAAACCTTCCACAATATTTTAAATAAGGTTACTATTTTATGTTGGACTGGATTTTTAGCTGTGTTGTGCCTCATGTGGCCTCACAGGCTCCAGGTTGGATACACTTCCCTTCTAAAAGAACTGTTTATAATGAATTCTAGTTGTGGTTCTGTGTTCTCTGTTCCAGAGTAAGCAGTTTGATATGTGTCCATTTGTAATCCATTTAGAAAATACATAGCTGGTCGAGGTGGTGCCTGCCTTAAATCCCAGCACTTGAGAGACAGAGGCAGGTGGATCTTTGTGAGTTCGAGGCCAGCCTGGTCTGCTGAGTGAATTCCAGGATAGCCAGGGCTACACAGAGAAACCCTGTGTTGAAAAAAAAAAAAAGTGAGGGAGAGAGAGAGAAACATATCTGTAGAAAGTATAGTTTGTGGGTATAGCTTTATTTGCTTATTATATTTACTGAGTTGCCATAATGCATGAATTTTTAGAGTTAATGTTTGTTTCTTTTTTTTTAATTTTATTTATAGTTTATGTATGCGTGCTGTACATATATACTTGCATACTAGAAGAGGGCATCAGATCCTATTATAGATGGTTGTGAGCCACCATGTGGGGTGCTAGGAATTGAACTCAGGACCTCTGGAAGAGCAACTAGTGTTCTTAACCACTGAGCCATCTCTCCAGCTCCCGTTTGTTTCTTTTAATGGTTATTCATTGTTCTGTTGAATTAGTATGTTCCATTTTATTACCCTGGTGTTTTACATTTTTAGTTTTCCAAATATTGATGCAGTAGACACCTTTCTTAGTTTGCTTATATCTGTATACCAACAATGGTTTCTTTAACATAGATATCAGAATTAATTTTTCTGTGTTTAAGTGCACTTTGTGTTTACTAGACCATGTCAAAATGTTCTTTAAAAAGTCTATGTGTTTGTCCAGGCCCTGGCCTGTAATCCCAGCATTGGGAAAACTAACACAAGAGATTTTAAGTTCTAGGCCAGCTTAGGCTGCATAGTAAGACTCTTGTCTAGGAAAAAAGTTTATATACTTGTTTTTCATAATTTTGTTCATTTGTACAAGTATTGTTCATTTGTACAAGTTATTGTTACTGAGTATAAAACTTTATACTTTTTAGTCTTTGTTGACTGATCAATGAAGTTTTTATATGCCTGACAGTTGGTTTTATTTTTAGTTTTTTCTTTCCTGTACTAAGGATTGAACTCAGGTCCTGGCACTTCTTAGTAAGCACTCTGCTGTTGAACTGTACTACCCTCAGTCCAATTTTACTTTTTTTTCCCCTTATTTTGAAACAAGGTCTCACTAAATTGCCTAGGCTGGCCTTGGATTTCCAGTCCTGCATCCTCCTCTTCCTGAGTTTCTTTTTCTTTTTTCTTGTTTTGGTTTTTCCAGACAGGATTTCTCTGTGTAGCCCTGGCATCCTGGAACTCACTCTGTAGACCGGGCTGTCCTTGCACTCACTGAGATCTACCTGCCTCTTCCTCCCTACTGGGATCAAAGGTGTGCACCACCATACCTAGCTATGAAAATGTGTTAAATAGGTTTTCTGGACCTGGACTGCAGTTGATAAGACTTTTAACTTGTTTCTGGGCCTTGAATTTTTCTCATTTAAAAGGAAATATTGCCTAGCATATGTAAGGCTTTGTGTTTAACCTCTAGCACTGAAACAAAGTAGTAATTGAAATAGATAAATAGTGAAAATCCATTTCCTAAATGTTGATTATAGGATTTGATGCAGCTGTGTTTGTAAATTATTCACCTCTAAAGCTTACACCCTAAAGTTTAGCATACTAACATGGAACCTAATTTTAGAATTATAGCAGATTTTTACTTTATTGATCCTTAACTCAATTGAGCTCATTAAGACATTATTTAACACTGTGGACAATGTTGTTATCTTAATTTTCAAGAGTAGAGTTTATCAGAAATACATTTAAAGATAATTTTTTCACTAGAATTTATTTCTTTAATGAACGTGTGTGTGTGTGTGTGTGTGTGTGTGTGTGTGTAGATACCAGAGGTTGACATTAGTTGTCTTCCATTATCACTCTCCAGACTCTCACTGAACTGGGAGTTCACCCTTTGCCTGCTCTGGCTACTTAGTAAGCCCCTGGCCTGTGAACTCCTGTTCTCATGCATGTGCAGCAGGCACTTTAGCTACCAAGTCATCTCCCTAGTCTGTGCAGCTCAACACTCAGCTTGTCTGTATTCCTCTTGCTCCTAGCTTCTGCTGATTACTGTTTTACTCTTCCTTGAAACAGCTTTGCTAGCAACTGCATTTGAGTGAGTGTTTAATTTTTCTATCTCAGGTTTATGTACTTTTATGTATGTGATTGTTCAGCCTGCATGCATGTGTACTGTGTGCATGCCCGGTGCCCACAGAGGCCAGGAGAGGCCCTGGAACTGGACTTAGGGATAGTGGTGAGCTGCCGTTTGGCTTTAGAAGCCAGACCTCCATGTTGTACAAGAGTAGCAACTGCTTCTAACTATTGAGTCCTTCCTCCAGCCCCACGCTTGTCATTTCCAGTTCCGTCCATTATCTTCCCACTGTAAATGATAGTGTCTCGTCCTTTTAAGACTGGTTAGCATTCAACCGTGTGTGTATACTTGGGAATATGTAGCACATGTCTTTATGCATTCCTCTGCTGGTAGATACTTCCAGTTGATTCCATATTTTGGCTGTTGTGAGTAGTGATGAAGTAAACATGGAGTGCATAGATCTCATTGATAATACTGATCTCATTTCTTTTGGATACTTGCTTAGAAGAGGAATAGTTGGATCGTGAGGTGGTTACATTATTTGTTCATTCCCGTTTTCCATAATGTTTGTACTACTTTACATTGCCACCACTCATGCATACTTTTTTTTCTACATCCTCATCAGTGCTGGCTACTTTTTTTTTCTTATTTTCATAATTGTTCTTCTGATGGATGAATCTGTAAGCTGCTTTTTAATATTATTTTTTTTTGCATAAACAAGGGAGATTTTTCTGGTTTTGTATTTAATGTTTTTCATATAATTTTAATTTAATGAATTAAAATCATTTTATGAAGTTTATTTATTTTGTCTTTGGGGATCAAGCCCACAGCTTCGACACATGCTAGGCAAGTGTTCTACCACTGAGCTATGTCCTCAACCTTCCATGTGCAATAGTATATTGTATATAGAATACTTAATACTTTAAGTGTGTAACTTAAATATAACCCAAACTATAAAATTAAAATAATCGTGCTCTCACTAGTCTTTCTATGCTCCCTTCATGGCAGATGCACTATCTGATTAGTAGAGGCTGTATTACTTAGAGCTCTGTACTGAATGATAAACCTACATTCTTGACTTTATCTTACATATGCATGCACAGATGTGCAAAGACAGATGGTCATTAGAAGTTTGTTTACTTCTCTGCTTCTTTTCTTACATTTTCTTCAGTTCCTCTCTTCCCCTCTCCCTCCCTTTCTGCTTCCCTACTTTCCTCCCTCCCCTCCATGTTTTAGATTTTTGAGACAAGGTCTTGCTTTGTAGTCCGGGCTCATCTTGAGGCAGTCCTCCCACTTCTACTTTTTGAGTACTAGGATGCTGAGACATAAGCACCCTGTGGTGGTTTTTGTTTGTTTTGAGGGGGTTTAGTCCTCAAAACAAAATCCTCAGGTGCTTACAGGAAGTTTTGCATGGTAAGCAGAAACTGCCAAGCTACACCCTCAGCTATAGCTTTATTTCTTATTGTGTCCTAGAGCCACCCTAAGCATTCAGACGAGGGAGGCTTGGTAGTCATGGTAGGAACATAAGATCGAATGCTTGAAGTTGTAAAAGGAACTGGATAGTTTGCATGTTATATTCATATTATATGTTAATAGAAGTTAAAGTTGGTTAACAACAAATATGGTGTTCCTCATTTGTATTTTTTGGGTATGTGCAAGGACAGGTACATGCTGTTTTGTCTCACATTCATAGTAGTGTTACACTGTAACACTAGTAATAGTGAGCTATTACATGATGAGCACTGTGTTAGTGTTAGTCATTTTGTTCTACACTTGTGTGTAGAAGGATAGATTAAGGGGAGTGTTTTGTAAATTTCATCAGGGGCTAACTTGGATGGTGGGAAACTGGGTTTTCAGTGAACGTTTTCTATATTTTCACTGTTAAATATTTGGTTTTTTTTAAAGATTTATTTATTTATTATGTATACAGCATGTTTGACTGCAGGTCAGAAGAGGGCACCAGATCTCATTACGGATGGTTGTGAGCCACCATGTGGTTGCTGGGAATTGAACTCAGGACCTCTGGAAGAGCAGTCAGTGCTCTTAACCTCTGAGCCATCTCTCCAGCCCCTAAATATTTGTTTAGATTGTTAAAATTTTGTTAGATTATTTGTTGGGCAAAATGTCACATTAAGTAATAAGTTTATAATCATGTAAATTATTTTTATTATGAAAGTATTGTACAAATTAGAAGAAAGGGTTAAAAATACTAAGCTCTTTTTTAAAAAAGATTTTGTTGTTTATGTTTTCTACATCAGGATCTCATTATGTAGTTGTGGCTGTCTTGGAACTCACAGAGATTCTCCTGCCTCAGCTTCCCAAGGCATTCTTTAAAGCCATTAAACCTGTCTTTAAAAATAATTTTTTAATGCATTATTTCTTTGTATGTATGTGAGCACATGTATAGGTCATAGGACAATTTCTTGGGTGTCAGTTCTCTCCTTCCATCATGTGGGTTCCAGGGTTCTGTCTCAGGTCATCATGCTTGGCATCCAGCACCTTACCTGCTGAACCATCTCTCTGCCTCACATTCTGCTTTTTTTCAAAGTTACTCTGTGAGTTTTTCTTTGTTTTTTTCCTTTTGGTTTTTTAGGACTGAGTCCCTTATAGGCAAGCTGGCTCAAACTCACTATATGTTTAAAAATGACCACCTCCCTCCATCTTTCAAGGGCTGGGATTACAAGTGTGTTCCACTATGTCTGTCCATTATATTTTTCATGGCCAAGATTTTTAAATGACTAAATATGATATGATTTACTAACCCTGCTGCTTCACTGTGTCTACCTGAACTTGCAGTGTATACCTAGTTCATCCTTCCGCTCTCCTTTGTATCCAGAGTCTGTGCGTGCCTGGTACATGCTCTATCTAGCACTGAGCCATGTCCACAGCTCCATTCCTGTTTTGTTTTTAGTTATTTGAGTGTCTTTTTTGGTTTTTCGAGACAGGGTTTCTCTGTGTAGCTTTGGCACCTTTCCTAGAACTCACTCTGTAGCCCAGGCTGGCCTCGAACTCACAGAGATCTGTCTGCCTCTACCTCCCACTTGCTGGGATTAAAGGCATGCGCCACCACCGCCTGACTATTTGAGTGTCTTAATCCAGGTAGTTTGTAGGAAATAATTCTGGACTTAAGAGTTTCATAAAACACACACATACTTGCCTCTTAAGGTATTAGAATTACGGTTTTTTAGTCAAGAACATAATTACTATAGGCTCTGTCAGTATATTTAGTTGGTATAGTTTTGAGTTTTTATTTGCTCATAAAATAAGCCATTCTTAACTTGGATGTTTATTAAGATTTAAAACTTAATTTCAGGTGGGCATGGTGGTATACACATGTAGTCTTAGCTCCCAGAATGCTGTGATAGGCTTAGGAGTTCTAGGACAGCCTGGGTTACATATTGAGACTCTGTTTCAAAAAAACAAAACATTGAGCCCACAAGATGGTTGGGCAGGTACAGACACTTGTCTTCCAAGCCTGGCTCTCAGGTTGATCCCTTAGTTTGATCCCTGGAACCCAAGGAAAGGTAGAAGGAGAAATCTGACTTTGCCCTCTGACCTTTACACACACATGCCCACATATAACAACACACACACACACACACACACACACACACACACACACACACACACACACAAATAATTTTTAAAAATACCAACAAAAACCTTGCTTTTTTTAAATCAGTTCTCTGCTAATTCTAAAGATAATATTTTCTGAGTTTTAGTATTTAAGATTTTAATATATGGATATATTTGTAAAAACTTAAGTAATAGCATTTTGCTCTTTTCCAGTCTTCTATTTTTTTTTTAAGAGTAATTTGTGCCTAGATCAGGTAATTGTTACTGACCATATGATGAAGACACACATATTCTCCTTTTAAATTGCTTGTTATTTTTGAATATATATATGAATTGTAATATGTACTCATCGCCCTTGTATTTGTTTATTTCAGTGGCCAAGGAAGTTTGCTGCAGCCTTTTATATACTACAGATTTCTCACTCTTCGTTATTCCTCTAGAAGAAATCCATATTGTCGGTAAGCTTGTGACTAACTTAAATCTGTTTTGTTTAATATACTGTGCAGATGTAGTATTTATAACTCTTGGAAATTTCTTAATAGTTTAGAACTTATAAGAAAGAAATATCTTTGAAATTTAAGTTGTTGGTTTTAAAACTAGCTGGGGTTAGTGAAAACGTAGTTGTATAAACTGATTCTTCATTTACAGGTTCCCATCCTGATAAATTCGCTCTTAAGTGGAAAATACACTGAGTACACCTGCCCCAGCAAACAGCTTAGCAGCACAGTATTCCATGGAATGGCCCTTGTTACTGGAGCTGCAGCTGTCTGCTGTTACTGCTAGCCTTAGAAAAGATTGAAATCTGAAGTATATTGCTGCTGAGTGCATAACACTTTTGCAGCAGCCTAAGTAAAAACACTGGAGGTTAAGCCATTCAAGGATGGGGACCTTATATTTCTTTTTAGAAATTGAAGCTAGAGTTGTTTTTTTATCATCTTTTAAGGTTCTAATGCTTAGGAAATATGTGACTTTCTTAATTGAAACAAAGACCATAGTTAAAGTAGTCACAGATCAATATATAGCAGTCTCTCCTTATGTGCACCGTAGCTTCCTATACTTCTGTTACATGGAGTCTAAAAAGCTCATAGCTAGGGGAGGGGTACACATCTGCAAACCCAGCGCTCTGGAGTCTAAGGCAGTTGAGGAATATGTTCAGTGTTGTCTCCATTAACTTCATTATAGCACTGAAACTCCTAATGTCCAGAAAACTTCTGAGAGAACATTTATTTATTTAAAGAAATAGTGTGTGGCCTGGTACGGTGGCACATGCCTTCATTCCCAGCACTTGGGCGGTAGAGGCAGGTGGATCTCTGTGGGTTTGAGGCCAGCCTAGTCTACAACATGAGTTCCAGGACAGCCAGGTCTACAGAGAGAAACCCTATTTTGAAAAAACAAAAATAAAAAAAAACAAAATAAAGAAAGAAACGGTGTGTGGATTGCACGTTACGTAATTTTTTGGGTCTTTTTAAAGATGAATTGAATTTGTCTGTAAAATGTGAAAACTGAGTAGTAAAGAAAAAAATGTAGGGCTGGAGAGATGGCTCAGAGGTTAAGAGCAGTGACTGCTCTTCTAAAGGTCCTGAGTTCAATTCCCAGAACCCACATGGTGGCTCACAACTATCTATAACGAGATCCTGGTGCCCTCTTCTGGCCTGCAGGCATACATGCAGACAGAATACTGTATACATAATAAATAAATAAATCTTAAAAAAAATGTAAATAATCCCTTTTAGATATAACCATTGTTTTTGAAAGTGCTTTTTCTTACTTCTCTACTCAAAAAGACACTGGATTTTGAGAATGTTGTCTGTGATGAGATGGGAATCCTCCTGCTACCCTGGCTGGCCTTGAAATCCTAGGCTCCCTACCTCCTGCACTTGTACCTGAGGGCTAGATAGCTGTGCATGGGTTCTCCTTTTGTATATTCCCTACAGTGTTTTCTAGGTTCATCTTTGACTTAAATTTTTGTTGTTTTTCAACACAGGGTTTCACTGTGTAGCTCTGGCTGTTCTGGAACTTACTATGTAGACCAGGCTGGCCTCGAACTCAGAGATCTGCCTGCCTCTGCCTTGCAAGTGCTGGGATTAAAGGTGTGCACCACCACACCCAGCTATTTCTTTAAATTCTTTTTGGTCAGCTTTTTTCTCAGCATTATTTGTCTTCATTGCCTTATTGTTGTGTTTCTGAACACCACTATTTTATCTTCCAGGAACTTGTTTAATGAACTGAGGATTGTTGTGGAGCACATTATAATGAAGCCCTCCTGCCCACTGTTTGTGAGAAGACTGTGTCTCCAGAGCATTGCCTTCATTAGCAGACTGGCACCAACAGTTGCGTAGTCTAACCTCTAGTTAAGCTGTGTGTAGAAGATAGCATTAGTAGCTGGTAATTCAGATAGGGGTCTAAATGACAGACAGGTCTAACACCGGCCTCAGTTCAGTTTACGTGATTTACGTAAATGCATCTCAGTGCAAAAATAATCATTTTCCTGGCATGTTAAATCAAGCCTTTAACAGTTTCTGAGAAAATTTTACTGTGCATTATTGTTTGTGGTATGTAAATTTGTATTTAGTGATAAATGTTACTAAATTGTTTTAGATGCTGCTATGCCTACATCATGAAATACATTTATTTCTTTTAAAAAGAATTCTGAACTTTGTTTCACCTCAACCATTAACCCAAGTTATGTCTGGAATGAGTTCATTATGGTAATAGATGAATTCAGTAAATTTTGAGACAGTATTTTTTTCCATTCATTAGTTTTGGTTGAGATTTTCACAGAAGCACATTCCCCTGCAGTTTCATTTCACATTCAGCTTGTGCTGCTTTGCTAGGACAGATGTGTTTAGCCTGCACCATTACAAGGGAAATTCTGTATTTATTTTATGCCCTGCTAAGCTTTCATTCCCATCAGTCCATCTGTGGCTTTGATAGTGTTTGAAAACGGCTTGGCTGTAAGCCTGTTTTGGATTAGCTCTTTGGGGTCCTGTAACCATGTACTCTAGAAGGTGGTAGTGACACAGCGTTCCTTTGAGAGACCTACTGAGTAACTTTGACCATGTCCCCAGATAGGCATCAGTGTTGCTGTAGTGTGTAGAAACACCTAGTTCAGTGTCTTGACTCCAGTTTTCTTGGTTTCTCAGGCTTGAAAGGTCCTAGAAATTTGCAGCAGCAGTTCTGATGCCTTTGAAAGGATGTGATTGAAGATTGAGCATGTGATTACACTTGTATGTTCTGAAATAATGAAGACTATTCTGTAGATTACATGTTTATCCAGCAAATATGATTCAAAAGGTTAAATGGAAAGGTTTATAGGTAAGGTAATTAATGGGGAATAGTTGAGGGGGATAATGGGTGTTTCAGCCTGGTAAAGCATACATGAGGTTGGGGGGATTGGATGCATAATGCATCTGTGATTGGGGCTGGATAATATGTTCAAGTCTTTTAATTGAGTTTCCATCAATTCCTTTATAGAAGTCATTTTGATCCTTATTACTGTTGCATGATTGGAAATACTTAAAACAATGCACAATTTTAGTATAGAGTAATGTAATGTTGTGGTCTTTTTTTTGTGCCCAGTTCTCTTCTATCTGCATGTAATTTGGATTTCTCGATCCATTCATTAGTAGCTTGTAACATCAGTTTTCTTTTTGTTTAAGCTCCTAATCTATAGAAAGGTGATAGTCTTGGGGTAGACTTCCAGAAAATACTACATGACAGCTTAGCTTTAACCAGCTACTTTTACATTTTTATAATATTTATCTACCAAGTTGGAGAAGCAACTTGATAATATCCTGTTGATTTTTTTTAATGTATGTGCCTAGCCTCCTTATCACTATATATGTAATCTGATGGTTTTAAAAATACAACTTTGTAGAGCAATAAAGTGACTGTAACGTTATGTAAACATGCTGATTTCTAAGATGTTCTAAAACATTGTCTTGAGTGACATCGAGTTCTGGCAGCTAAAGGAATATTTATTTTGAATATTTTCTCTCTTTTTTTTTTCAATCTTGGAACATTTTAGATTTATAAGAGGTTCAGAATAGTAGTACAGAGAGTTCCCATGTACCTCTTACCTGTCTATTTTTATATTAGCATCTTTTAATTAGTAAGACATTTATGCAAAGTAAGATAATAACCTTGGATTAACTAAAGTACAAAATTTATTTGAATTTCACCAATTTTTCTATCTGTTGTATGTGTGTGCTGTGTTTGTACCTGGATTGCCTTTTATGTTTCAAGGTGTATAAGTGAGTTTTAGATCTTTATAATATTGGTCAAAATATTTCCTTAGAGGAGCTAATTCATGCTGGCTTTAACAATGTAATTTCCAATGTTTAATGATATAAATTAAGCCTTTTTAATGATACTGCAGAATTACATTATTTCTGATACACCCGTGCTTGAATGGAAATATAGATTTGTTCCTTAAAGGAAGGTGCAGAATATAAATAATATTCTCAAACCCATGAAAAGGCAAATTTTATAATTTGAACATTACTAGATGTTTACAAACTAGATGATTACTAGTTTGCATGAAGTTGTAGTTAGAAATATCACATTGTGTGTGAATGTGTACAGTCAGCTGATCTTGAATCTGAAATTAGTGTTTCCATGTACGCCTATCAAAATACAGGAAATGTAACAGTGCATAAAGTGGATGAGCAGGGGAAACGTAACACTTACTGCATAACTAAAGTTTAAAGGAAGTTGGTTTATCATCCAGAATATCTAGTCCTTTAGGAACTGGAACAGTGCTGTTGTTTGTTAAACCCCATTGGACAGATGGAAGCTTCATACAAAACCTGTTGTTCTCTAGCAAGCATTCTGTATTCCTTTGTGTACTTCATCTCTCATTGAGTTGAATGGATTTTTTTTTTTTTTTTTTTTTTTTTTTTTTTTTGGTTTGTTCTCGAGATAGGGTGTCTTTGAGTAGTCCTGGCTGTCCCAGAACTCAGACCAGACTGGCCTTGAACTCCCAGAGATCTGCCTGTCTCTGCCTCCCAAGTCCTGGGGTTAAAGGCATGCCTGGCAAGTTGGCTATATTTTAATATTAAGCCACAGAGCAATTTCTTAAGTGCAACTTGTATTTAAATTTGCTTGAAATAAAATTTCCCTAAGGTAAATGCTTTTGGAAGAAAAACAACAAAGCTAATTGTAAAAGTTAAATTTAGATACTTATGTATCCCTTACGGAGAATGTCAAGGCAAGCTTGATAACAAACCAGAAGTTCTGGAAAATTAATGGATTCTGTTGAATAAAAATTGCAAAGCCCTACATCTAAAGATCTAGACAAAAATTTGAATTAGATTTGTAAGTTTAGAAAATACCCTAGAAAGGAAAATGGATGCATATGTAACTAGACAAATAGAACTGAGTTCTCTAAAAAACGTTTCAGTTGAGAGATTATGGTAAAATCCTCAGCTAACATTGAGGAGTTTGATTGATGAATCATCTGGGGGGAAAATAGCTGTGGACAGTTAATGTTTATAATCAGTAGGTGTCACTCTTTCCTTGGGTAGTCCCCATCTTTACAGCTGTGTTTGGTGAAATGCTATGTTACCGAACGTGCTTAACTGACCATAATACTAGGCATTTTAATTCTGTGACCCCTGTAATTGAACAGTGAACAAGTATTTGGTAAGTACTTATGTGCATGCTGGGAGATGGGCCTGGGGATTGACACCTGGGCCTCTTGTTCTACCACTGGGCTATACTTCCATCTTAGGAGTACTGCTTTATAATATAAAATATTCAAAAGAAATTCACTGCCAATATGAGCTAGTAAAACTGGACACAGTTGGGAGTGACATGTGTGCTGCTGTCTCTGTCATCTCTTCATTCTCGGCCTAAGTCCCCTGAGGACATAAATGGTAAGATGATTATTTCCCCTTTCCAGATGTAGAGAAATGATAGCTACTTTTTTCATCTTTTCTTATATAGAGAGATGGAATTTTAATTTTTTCCATCATTTGTAGGTACACTAGATAGAATCAATTTAACTTATGATTGAGACTTTCCAAGTAATATGAAAGCACTTAACAGTTTGTATATTATATCAGGAGTGCTACCTGAGTTTGAAAACCAAGTGTAGTTGTAAAGGTTTTTCTTGGCACCACTGGCCTTCCTAGGACCAGGGGAATTCCACACAGGCAGTGTGTTGGTGAGCTTGACAAACAGTATACTAGAGCATGGCATACCTTTGAAAAGTCTGGAGTTTCTCGACACTTCTTTAATGCATACAGTCTTTTGTTGTTGTTTTCTCGAGACAGGGTTTCTTTGTGTAGTTTTGGTTCCTGTCCTGGATCTCGCTCTGTAGACCAGGCTGGCCTCGAACTCACAGAGTCCTGAGTGCTGGGATTACAGGCGTGCACCACCGCCACCTGGCTCATACAGTCTTGTATAGTTTGACTGCAAAGCCATTCTTGGAGCTGGTATCAAGGATATCAAAGGAGCTGCTGGGAGTTTGGAAGGTATCCTGTAATTAGTTCATCAATGAGATTTTTGTGATCTGAGGTGGCACTTAAGTGGCTTATCCAGAATGGCCACATTCTTGGGTGAATGCTCTCTCTGGGGTCTCCCTTTTTGTGTTGTGCATGCCATGTAACTGACACACACTGAGTTTGAGTTGGTGGTGACAAGACAAAATGCAGTATTCTTTGTATCTGAAGTGGATTCTTTTTCTTTGAAAACTATAGGGAAAAGTTGATGGATAGCTGTGTTTCCTAGAGTCTTAACAATTGGCTATTGTAGGAGAAAGAAGGGCCCAAGAATCATTTCAATTTTTTTTTCTTTCCTAGCTTGTTGCTTACTTGCTTTCTCCCTTCTTCCCCACCTCCACCCGCATCCCCAACAGGGTTTCTCTGTGTAGCTCTGACTGTCCTGGAACTCACTCTATAGTCCAGGCTGACCTCAAACTCAGGGATCCGCCTGCCTCTGCCTCCCTTTTTTTTCTAGCCTTCTAAAGCTACATTTTAAAAATAGGCTTAGCATTTTTGAAACTAACCTTTGTTGTTCATAACATTTAATTCCAAGCTTTTACTCTTCTCTTGTGTAACTTTAAGAACATTTCCTTTTGACATTAGTTTTTGTCTAGGTGTATCTGTAAATTGAGACCAAAAGAGCAACATCTTGGGCAGGTAATATTTATGATGTGTGTATATTGGAACAAATATACAAGGATTGCGAAGATTAGAAAGAGTCATGGAAACTGCTTGACTTATAAATGCATCACTGCTGGTGCTTGATATAACAGGAGATATTGAACTAAAAAATTGTATATACAGAATGTCAGCATTTCTTACTAAACTTCTCCTGAATCCATTTTTAATATATTATATAGGTTGGGGAGTTATATATACTCTTCAAGCCAATACTGTCCAGACTGTAGATTTATAAAATAAATTGAAAAATTCATCATTCTCCTGTATTCAAGACCAAAGCACATAATGCTAATGCAGGGCTCAGAGGGGAAATACCATTCTCCTGCATATTTGAGAAAATGTGAAGTCCTTTCAAGAAAATGTAATAAACATCATAATCATAGCCTGCTGACACTAAGGAAAAAGGACCTCATTCGCTCTTTCTTTTATGCAGCGATTTACTGGTCTCTGCTGATTCCAAATTGGATCACTGTAGTAAATTATCCATGCTGGTACCTGTGAAAGTAAGCCCTAGGATCCATATTTGTTTTGTGTTCTGCTTAAATCAGCAAGAATGATAAATTTGATGGTGTGAAATTGGAAGTATCAAGGGCTTTCTTTGATGGTTGAGCAAAGTCTTGTCTCCACCTGTAATTTTTTGTTACCCTTTTTCACTGTATGTGCTTCATATGTCTAATATTTATTTCAATACAAATTAAATTGTTCTTCCATCTATAATGTTATACCTAACATTTTATTGATGTAAAGTCAAATTGTGTAATAAAAGTCTTTCTGGATTTAAGCAGGTTTAGAAATGCTATGTTGCACAAGTACATTTACAGTTAGAATTCAGCTTTCCTTTGTGCCTGATTGCCTGTTGTTGGAGGAAGGTGAGTCTGAATGCTTCTGTTGTCCTCCTCCCATTACAAATACAGACGTACTGTGATGTTGAAGACTGGTGTTAAATGGGAAAACTGCATTACGAGCTGAGACTTGGTGAGGGGGGACATTAGATATCTCAGTTGCTTGCTTCTATACATTTTTGTTTCATGAAATGGATAGCCTGGTGGATGAATTATTTATAGCCTTAAAATGCCTCACAATATACAATGCATCCAAAGTCATCAGTCAACACCAGATAACAGAAGTACATTTCCCTTTTAGGTGTCTAGAATTGGTAGATATTTTCTGTCGATTGAACAGCAGGAACTTACTAAGTAATGCCATGTATAAACCAGTTATCTAAATCCTTGTCCACTTTAGTAATGCGATCTAAAACACATTATAGAAACCAGTTTTATATGAAGGCAATTCTGATGGGTGGAAAACAGTGGATTAATTAGTTATCCATATATGGGGTTGGGAATTTTTAGCTCATTGGTCCAACTCAACTCAGCTCTGAGGGGAGGGCAGGTAATGGCACACAAGAGAATTACAGAAAAGACCAAAGACAACTAGAGTTATCCATAAAGCAGAAGAATGTTTGGTAATCCAGGAAGTGGAGTGTTTGGGGGGCTCTGGGGACAGCTTGGTGAGAAAGCACTCCCTTCTCTAGTGAGCACGATTGAGACCCTGGATTTGATCTTCAACATTACATGAAAGTGAAGAAAAAAAAATGATTTCCTAAAGATTTTCTACTGTATTTATTACTTTATGTATGACTGTTTTGCCTGCGTGTATGTATGTGCACCACATTGGTGCCTGGTGCCTGTGGAGGTCAGAAGGCATCAGATCCCCTGGAACTGGAGTTACATATAGTTGTAAGCCATCATGTGGGTGCTAGGAGCTGAACCTAGGTCCTCTGGAAGAGCAGCCAGTGCTCTAAACCATTGAGCTAACTCTCCAGCCCCTTCCTAAAGATTTGATGGTAGGTTATTTTGGTGACATACATGTTGTTGGCTCATAATACAGTTTTTTTAAAAAGTGAGATCTTTGAAGTGTTTTTTTTGTTATTGTTTTTGTTTTGGTTTTCGAGACAGGGTTTCTCTGTGTAACAGTCCTGGCTGCCCTGGAACTCACTCTGTAGCCCAGGCTGGCCTCGGACTCAGAGATCCACCTGCCTCTGCCTCCGAGTGCTGGGATTAAAGGCGTGAGCCACCATCACCTGGCTTTTTTTTTTTTTTTTTTTTTTGAGATTTATTTATTATGTATACAGAGTTCTGCCTGCGTGTATGCCTGCCTGCCAGAAGACAGCGCCAGATCTTATTACAGATGGTTATGAGCCATCATGTGGTTGCTGGGAATTGAACTCAGGGCCTCTGGAAGAACAGCCAGCCACTGAGCCATCTCTCCAAACCCGGTTTGGAGTTTCTTATATCACAATTCTGAACTTTGTTTTTTTGAAGGAGGCTCTCTCTACATAGCCCTTGCTGTCCTGGAACTCACTATGTAGACTAGGCTGGGTGCTCAAACTCATAGAGATCTGCCTGCTTCTGCATCCCGGATACTTGGGTTAAAAACATACGCTGCTACATCCAGTTCCATAATTCTGAACTTTTGGAAGGCAAGATCAGCTCATTCCTTGGTTGAATGGGGCCTACTCAAAGAAGTGATATACTGAATCCTTGAGAATAGGTGATGTGTCAATAAGAATTTTATTTTAATAGGATTTATCTTAGGGTTGGGGAGATGGCTCAGTGGATAAGAGCACTTGTTCTGCAAGCATGGGGTTGTCAGTTCAAATCCCCAGAATCCATGTGCAAAGCTGGTCATGGTTGCCCATTTGCAGGTGTCCTTGGCACTATGAGGGAAGAGCTCCGAGCTTGCCAGCCACCAGCCTGCTCCAGCTTCACTGAGTGACCCTGTCTGTCCTCAGGAAATAAGGTGGGGAGAAATGGAGCAGGACACCTGGCATGTGTCTGGTCTCCATGTGTGTGCACTGCACACGCCACACACACACACACACACACACACACACACACACACACACACACACACACAGGTTTATCTTAGGGCAAAGTTTAAACATACATGAATGTTGACCGATGCAGTGAAAAGTGTCTGAAGTCTTATTACACAGAACTCAAAACCCTCTCCTGTGACCTGTCATCTCTATATACTTTCCCCTCCTGGTTTAAATAATTTCACATTATATTACTTCTCAGTAGAAATTTTCATTATATAGCTTTAAAAGAGCATCTGTAAGATCAGTATAAAATGTCTAAGTAATTCACAGATATTTTTAGGCTTGTTAATAGAAATAAGGCACTCTGGCTTTTTTTTTTGTCAACTTGACACAAACCTGACTTATCTAGGAAGAGGAACCTCAATTAAGGAAATGCCTCCAGGGACTGGAGAGATGGCTCAGATGTTAAGAGCACTGGCTGCTCTTCCAGAGGTCCTGAGTTCAATTCCCAGCAACCACATGGTAGCTCACAACCATCAACGATGAGATCTGGTGCCCTCTTCCAGCATGCAGGCAGAATACTGTGTACATAATAAATAAATCTTTAAAAGAAAACGCCTCCAGATTGCTTGCAGGGCATTTTCTTGATTAATAATTGATGTGGGAGTGGCCCGGTCCACTGTGGGTGGTGTCACCCCTGAGCAGGTGGTCCTGGGTTATAAATGAAAGCCAATAGAGCGAGCCATGAGGTACAGGGCAGTAAGCAGTGTTCTTCCGTAGCCTCTTCAGTCTTGCCTCCAGGTTCCTGCCTTGGGTTCCCTCAGTGACTGGAGTGTGATGTAAGCTGAGAGAAACTTTTTCTTCCTTGAGGTTTTTTTTTGTTTGTTTGTTTTGATAATAGTATTTTTTCACAGCAATAGAAACGCTAACTAAGACAAATTGGTGCCAGGAGTGGGCTACTGCTTTGACAGACCTGGCCATATTGTCTTTAGTCCTTGTTGGAAGGACTGTGCAGCTTTGGGCTGGAAAGCCATTGAGTGCCCAGAGCTTAATGAACTGTTGTGGGAACATAGAAGGCTGTATTGAGAGCATTGTAGACAATGGAGACCTGGCCAGTGAAGTTCCATGGGGAAGAAGAATGCCTTCTAGTCTATTGGTGCACTCGATACTTTTAATTGAGAAGCTGTGGTTCTGCTCAGCTAGGGCTTATGAGTAGACTGATTGACAAGAAATTGAACCAGTAAAATGAAGTATTTCCTCAGGATCAACACACAAGCTGTGGTCTGGAGAGGGCATTAACAGCTGTACTAACAGCTGAACTTGGTAATGTGTGAGAGTAGCAGGTGGTACGAGTCTTGAAAGCATGAAAGGGTCCTGGAGAGCAGCTGAGGCATGACCCCATGAGAGGTCACTGGTGAAGGTAACAGCCTCAGTGGCAGTAGAAGCCTCAGGATTGAAGGGGTGGGTCATAGAGAGAAGTTGAGGCTTGGCACCGTGTCATAAGGTCAGAGTCCCTGAAGAGAGCCCCCAAGAGGCTGTTGGTGAAGGTGCAGCCCAGTTGCAGCAAGAAGCTCTAGCACTTTGGAGATGCCAGAGCATGGGACAACTGCCAAGGACAGCAGTAGCTGTGAAGTGGAGCGGCCTGAGCCCAGGAGACAAGCAGTGTATGCTGTGGACAGCAGAGCCGGTGGGGGGGCGATGGCGGGGTAAGAAGCTGTTCAAGCCCCTTGGAGCCCGGAAGATTATGCATCCCAGATGTTTGAAGCTGAGCTTTAACGGTGGAGGACCTTGGTTTTGCTTTTATTTGAATGTAACCATGCCCTTGATTTTCCCCCCTTGGAATAAGGAAGTATGTAACTTATTCTTGGTTTTATAGGCACTTAAAGAGACTGAACTTTCTTAAATGTGTGAATTTTTTAAAGACTATGGGATTTTTAAAGTTATGTTTTTTGTTGTGATACTAATGTCAACTTGACAGCTTGGGAACAAATAAGAAAGATTACAGTCGAAAGGTGATATGTTTGTGTGTCAAGTTGACAAGGGGTCAGTTATGCTTGCTGTTTTTTGTGTGTCCACTTAATACAAACCTAGAGTGGTGGGAAGAGGAACCCCAAGAAAACACATTCGAGCCGGGTGGTGGTGGCACACACCTTTAATCCCAGCTCTGAGGCAAAGGCAGGCACTTCTCAGAGTTCGAGGCCAGCCTCGTGTACAGAGTGAGTTACGGCACGGCCAGAGCTGTTACATAGAGAAACCTTGTCTTGAAAAACCAAAGCGGGGAAAGAAAAAGAAAAATACCTTTATCAGATTGACTGTAGGCAGGACATTTTTTTGATTAATAATGTATGTGGGGAGTGCTGCCCCTTGGGCCAGTGTCCTGGGTTAGCAATGAAAGCAGGCTAGGCAAGCCATGAGGAGCAAGGCAACAAGCAGAGCCTCTCAGCTCTTGCCTCCAGGCTCCTGCCTTGACTTCCCTTAGAGATGGGAGCATGGCTTAAGAGTTGTAAACTTAAATAAAACCTTTCCTTCTCAAGTTGTTTTTGGTCATGCTGTGTTATCACAGCAACAGAAACCTTAACTAAGATGAACATGTTGAAGGCAAAGGAAAATGCTGCTATGTCTTAGTAAAAGTAGAGCTTGGCCTTTCTTCCTCTACTGCCCTCAGAGCAGGATAGAGACATCAGCAGCTCTGCCCCCTGGGGGAAGTGATGAGAATGGGAAATTGGCTTTTTTTTTAATGTAGTTCAAGCTTAAGCTGTGGATTCTGCCTCCACCTGGAAAGTATCAGGATTAGAAGTGCTATGATTCCCTTTGCAAGGGAGGTGGTGGCCTATTTTTCCTTGAAAAGGTGACTGGCATTTGGAAAAGGTGTGTGTGTGTGTGTGTGTGTGTGTGTGTGTGTGTGTGTGTGTGTGTGTGTGTGTGCGTCCGTCCGTCATCTGTTCGTCCATGCAAAT